GTGTATTTTTTAAATATAGGTGGTTTAAAAAACTTTCAGAAGCCTCACGTGTCTGTGTGTGAAGTGTTGCTGTTAGAAATCCTGCCTGCTCCAGCTCCGTGATTGAACAGATCTATAAAGGGCTAAGAAGTGTAGGGGTCAATTGCTTGTGACAGAAAATACTGTGCCACTGTGTTGTTGTGTAATAATCAACAAATTCTGAGTGTCGAAGATTGATTTTCAGGCCCTTTGGCAACTCAAATGTGTTTTGGGAAGGTTTGCTAGTGATCAGTGGCAGGTATGACATCTTAACCTTGCATGGTGTGGTTCCTCCAGTGAGTGTGCCTCTCTAGGATGCAGAGCCATCATGTAGTAAAACTCAGTTTAATCATTGCACTCTACTTTCAGGCCATAATATTATGATTACTTTTAAGGCTTTTGTTAATGCAGACACTGTCCTCACACTGGAAAGCTAAGGATGTTTTGTTTCTATTTGATACTTCCCATGTTGTAGAGAAGCCAATGTCCTCTCTGATTTAGGCCATTTTCTAAGGATTTCAGGTGTTCCTTTGCACGTCCCTGGCAATGTTCATGTTATCAGTGCTCCTAATTCTGCCTGAGGCCATGCAGAACAAGAAAAATTTAATCAAAACCATGTAAAAACCTAATCATTCTGCCAATGCCAAAGAGCTGCATGAGGCTCTAGAGCCACAGGCTGAATATCATTTTTCCATATTATCACATAAATAGCTCCCTAAACACTCTTTAAAAGAAAAGCTGGGGAGGGGTGAGGGAAAGAGAGAGGGCCTGTTGCGGGATCTGAATGTGTGAAATGGATTAAGGTTCATGGGCTTTCCTCCATCGCTTGTAGTGGAGAGAAAGGTAAGCCTGCTAGCTGAACAAGAAGCAAGAACTTCTGATGGATTTGGAATTTCTTCAAATAGAGGTAGCTGCTAATAGCACTACCTTTTTTTTTTTTTTCTTCTGTCTAAAAACAGAGGTTGTCTATTGCTGCAGGGACAGGATAGCTAAAGGATGCTGCTGTGTCTAGCAAGCTCTAGCAGCACTCGGAGCACTCCCACCTCTCAGAGCACTGCTCTCCAAGGCAGCCAGCTGATGCAGCAGCTTGCACAGTAATTCACACAGGATGGGGACAGGCATTGCTGAGAACAATGTTTGTGTGTTCAGCAGTGGTGGTGACACACCACACGGCACAGTTCCGAAAACCATCTGGTGAAGCTGTCCCTGGTATATCTGAGGCCTTGAGTCAGACCTTGCTCCAGAGGGAAGATGAAGCTCTCCAAACCTCCAGCTGCAGGGAGTGCTGAAGCTGGGGCAGGAGGAGACAGTGTTGTTTTTTTTTCTACAGGAGCTGTGGTTTGGCAGAGGATCTGTGTTACCATGTAAAGGAGAAGCAGAAAGGTCAGCAAACTGTGCTAACATCACTAATGAGTAAGGGATTATTCTTTTCTGAGACACTGCAGGTACAAAAGCCTGAAACCCCAACTGTACCAAAGCAGGAGCAGGGAGAGGAGTCAGTGCTTACTGGGCAGGGAGGTGGAGAGTCCTGTGATGGTGAAGGCTGGAAGCCTGTAACTTTTAGTATCAGGAGGAAGGCTCCATCTCCACCATCAGCTCTGCATCTACAGGTTCAGTGCCATGGCAGTAAGTGCCTGGGGTCTCTCGAAGTGTCCAATCCAGCTGAGCCTGAGCCCTGCAGCATCACCACAAGGAAGCAGCAGTGGGCAACTTTCTGTTGCAGGGGATGGAGATCCCTCTCTGTGAACCTGACCTGCTGTGCAGGATGAGGTCTGCTGCTTGCCAAGGGCTTGGATTGAGGCATTGTGGAGAGACTGCCAAGGGTTGTCTGTTCCTGTGCATTACCTGCTGCTCTTCATTGTGGGCACCAGGGGACACATGGAACCTAACAGTCATGGCTACATAACTACAGAGATGGGCTTTTTACATCTGTGGCACCCTTTTTGAGGATCCATGCTTGGAAGAGACAAGGTGTACCTTACCAAGTAGGGCAAGCACCTTTATCAATAGGCTGGCCAATCTAGTGAAGAGAGCTGTAAAGCAGGAGTGGTGGAGAGTGGAATTGACCTACAGTCAAGTAAGGAAGTGATGGATCAAGTTATTAGCAAAGATGATGCTGACAAGAGAGGCCCTGAAATCAGCAAAGCAGGGGTGATGGGGCTCACCCCAAGTGTATGCCCACAAATAAGGAAGAGCCTACAGGATAGCATGAGGAGGAAGGCCTTACACCTTGTCTGTGAAATCAGCAGTATTGGGTGCCATGAAATGCAAGTATACTCATGCACTTAGCACAGGGAACAACAGGAGGAAAGGGAGGACTACGTGCAGATGCAGGCTACAACCTCACTGGAATCAGAGAGAGGTGTTGGGATAGCTCATGCATCAGGAGTGCTGTAATTGATGCGTGCATCTTTAGGAAGGATAGGCAGACATGGCAAGGGCAGTGTGTTGTGCTTTACATGTATGTGCGTGGTGGGAATGCACGGAGCTCTGCCACTGGGATGAATAATGAGACACCTGATGGGTTAGGACAGGAGGGCAGACCAATGTGGGCAAATTGTGGTGGGTGTCTCCTACAGACTGCGTGATCATGAAGAAGTAGATGAGGTGTTTTTCACATAATTGGAAGAAGCCTCATGGTCACAGGTCCTGATCCTCATGGCGCAGACTTTGACCACCCTGGTATCTGCAGGTACAGAACAGCATGGCACAAGCAATCCAGGTTTCTGGAGTGTATCAGTCATGACTTACCTCATGATGTATGAGAAGATGCTAAAGGAGCCATGTTTGTTTAGTTTGGGGAAGAGGAAACTAAGTAGGGGTGGAGAGCTGACTGTGGTCTTCACCTGTAAGATGAGTGGTTGTAAAGAAGACAAAGCAATGCACAACAAGAAGTTAACAGGTAACGGATACATGTTTCAGCAAGGGAAATTACAGCTATGTGTGAGAAGAAAAGGTTCTTCCAGAAAGAGCACTCAGACACTGCAGCTAGATTGCCTAGAGAATGTGTTGAATTGCCTTTGGAATCTCCATCTTTGGAGATATCCAAAACACCTTGGACAATGCCTGAAAAAGATGCTGTAGCTTTGGAGTTTGACCCTGCTTTGGGCACTGTACTAGACTAAATAACCTCCAGGATCCTTTCCAACCCAAGTTATTCTATAATTTTATGAAAATATTACATAGAAAATGCATTTCCAAGCCTTAATAATTCCCTATAACCGTGTTAAACTGTAAACAGGAAAGCAAAGAAAGTACCCACTTCTTGCATGTCATAAAGGCAACTTAGCTCACCCCTCCAAGGCCCTATAGCTGGAGGCTTGTTGGAGCCAGTGTTATGGTTTTGCTCTTTCCATATAAATGTATTGTTAGAACTAGGCACAAAGTTCAGGGACACTGAGACTGGAGTGCTTATTCGCACTTGATTTGATTTGTAGTGTGCTGCTAACTGAACAAGATTGTATTTTGTTTTATAATCGAAACAAATCAGTTACAGTTATTAATGAAAATTAAGAAAGTATTCATACAAAAATCACTACCTACGTCAAGACAGAAACAAAGCGAGCACATTTTAATAAGGATCCTTTAAGAGGAAGAAGGAGAAATGTAGTATGTTGCTGTGCTTTTGAGTGATTCTAATTTTGTTGTGATGGACCTAGCTCTTGGCCAAGCTTTCAGAATTCCAGGCTTTTTTACGTTGTTGTAAAGTTATGTTTCATAAATGAGAAAACACTTCTGATATGTGTGTATTTTTTCCAAGGAAGAAATCTCCAGTGTGTTAGAAGAGACACTGAGAAAGGAGCCTCAGGCAGACTAGACCATAGAGCATGAAGCAAATTCCCTTACCTATTTAGAGTACAATATGAGGACTTTTTTCATGATTTTCTGTGAAGATTATAATTTTAACAGTAACTATAATAAAAAAAAAATATCTGTGCTGAATCACTTTTTCTGAGTCAGGGGTGGTGGTGATGGGGAATACTTTCATGAAGACAAGTTGTTATGTTTGTAGTTGCCACAGTGCTGTGACAGGACCTCCCCAAACCAATAATGACATTATCTCTTTTTCTTCATTTTCTGCTAGCAAGAGACATGTTTCAGGGTAGGGACTGTGGATTGGGTTAGCTGTTTTTATTACTGAAAATAGAGTTGATGATATGAATAAAGGTAGTGCTTCTACTGAGGAACCAGCCGTGCTGGTTCATAGGAAAACTTTTCATTTTTTTGCTTTATCTTTCTTCCAGTTCCTCTCAAACCTATTCAAAACAACAAACTCTGCCATTGTATTTGGAAATTTTTCTGTAAGGGGGGGAAAAAGGGAAGATGGTGGGGTGGTGATTGATGCTTTTCTTTCAGTGCCTGCAAAATGTTTGGCTACCACAGTGCTGGAGGAGTGCTTCTCCCTACCCTCTGTTACACTTTTGGAAGAGAAGTCCTTCTTATCCTCTACAACAATTTAAATACTTGAACTTATAGAGTCCAGAAGTACATCATCCAGGTCCCTCACTCTCTGACATCTGGCTTTCCATCTGTTGTCCCCAGGAGCTGAGCTACGCAGGCTTGTTTCAGAGCCTTTGTGTGAGAGCCCTTGTGTTTCTTCTTCCTCCATGCCACTTTCTCCTGCAACAGGAATTGTTGGCTTATACAGGAACTTTCAGTTCTGGGGCTAATCCTCTTAAAACTCAGACCAGAAACAGGGCAGAGGTGGGCTGCTGACCTGAAGCACAGCTTGTTGCAGAGACATGGAAATGTGTGTGAAGATCTGGCATGCATGTACGTGCTGCCATCAGAATTACCAGTGGCCGTGATGATGAATGGTCATGTATCTGAGTGCTGGGTATTACTACGTGAGGGAAGATAACGTTGGTTGTACTCCTAACTACTGCTCTGTATTGCATACAGTTGATGGTTAAAATTCGTGACTTGCATTGCTGCTTTCTTACGTATAGGTTTACATTAATTTGTTCATGACTTCTTTACAGGTATCACTGCCCAGTGCCTAAAATATTCTATGTCCAGTTAACTGTTGGCAACAGTGAGTTTTTTGGTGAAGGAAAGACTCGTCAAGCTGCTAGACATAATGCTGCAATGAAGGCCCTTCAAGCTCTCCAGAATGAGCCTATTCCAGAAAAATTACCTCAGGTTTGTGTTTCAGAAAGCGTACTGTTCCCAATCTTCACATTAAGGTACCAAGTCCAACAATCTACTTACCAGTTTTTTAATGTTTAGTTTTTAGTGCTTTTTTTTCATATTAGCCTTAGTAACAGAGAAGCAGTATGAACAAATGGTTAGTGTTATTTCTTTATGACTGCACTTCTAACATAGAACAAGACTTAAATAGTAAAAATAAGCATGTATTTTAAAGATGAGATTGTCAACAGATTAAAGAAAAATTAGAAGAAAAAAATATTAGTTTATACCAAAAGTCCAGAAAATGTTGACTTAAACAGTGGCTTCATGAAGAATGAATTATTAATCTTAAATGTCTGTTGTGCCATAAAAGTGACTTCGTCTCCAGAGTACCTAAGACCATGACAGAGCTCACTGCACAGCTGTCTGATGTGTTTAGTCTTTCAGCTATTTAGTCCTTTTTTGTATAATTAACTTTCTCACTGCTGTGTATATAAATGGTGTATAGTGCTACTTAAAATGAAAATAGTGGCATATTTAAAAAAATATTTTAGCAGAAAATTAATCACAGAATAATCTTTGCAAATGAAACAGACAAATACAAATAAAATTATTTTTAAAAATGAGCAATATGAGACAAACTTTTTTTTAATTTTTATTTTCTATGCTGTTTCTGATGATGCCTGCTAAAATCCTGTGCACAATACAAAACATTACTGAAAGTATCTTCGATGTCTTGTATAGTTGTTCTAAGCTACTTTTTAAGAATGGAAGTTTTTCTTTGTCATAGAAAGATCTATGTTCTTTCTGCCTCACCCTGGATCTATTTGTTCCTTTAGATCCCAAGAGACTTTGACTCACCCTTTTGTTTTGCTATGTCATTTTTGTGAATCAGGAAGTTCTCTTCAAATTCACTTATTTCATATCATTTGTTTGTGTTTTTTGTTTTTTTTTTTAAACAGAAAATTTGTTAAAAAAAATAATACTGGAAGTCTTAGGAAGAATCAGTTTCTTTTTCAGTGTTCATTCCCTTCCTTTCGCTTCTGGTTTCTAGATAAATGATTTAAATGATTTATCATCAGTTGATGATAAATCGTAAGTGCAATCCTGAGTGGGAATCTCATATTATGGAAACATATTTTCAGCTCAACATATTCTTAGTTGAAATTCTTTGAAATTATGTTTAACATATATTATAAGAAGATTATTTGAATTCAAGATAGAAGCTAATGAGATTAGAAAGTGGGCTATTCTTATCTAACTGCATCGGATAGTAAGTCATAAAAGGAAGTAAATAATATATATAACATGGGTGCATGCCTGATTTATATACTGTTTTTATAGCCTGTGTATGTATGGTATTTACCTAGCAAAAGAAGTAAAATCTTTAATTAACATTCTTGTCTGATCAGGTCTATTTAGTATCTATTTTGATTAGTGTCTATGTGGATTTGCTGGCTTTTACAAGATGTAGTCATGGCACGTTGAGTTTCCTAAATTCTTGTAGCATTCTCTGTTGTTGTCTCTCTCATGAGGTAGCAAAGTGACTGTATTCTCTTTACCACAATAAATAATGTATGTAAACTGAATCAAGTCCACTATAAGCTATGAGAAAAATTAGGGAGGAATTATCAGGAGAGAATACTGTGGGTTAGGCAAAACAGTCATGTAGTTACTGGTAAGATCTGTGGGAGTTCAGCAGCTGAAGACCAGATGGGATAACATAGGATCTCAATATCAGGTGTCTGTGTGTAGGAAACTGAAGTCCTAAGGAAAACACATGTGGCTTGGTCATGCTGAGGCTAAAGGGAGCTGGCTGTGGGGCAGTGATGATGAAGAATCATCTCTGACTCTGACCCATGAAGAGACATGGCTTACTGGAAAATGTTGCATGGGAGAGCTGCGTTGTATAGAGATGGGTGCAGCTGTCTGGAGAAGTGTCAGGTTGAAGCAGAGCTAAGACCTCATGGTGCCAAGGTTTGGGTACCTCCCTGTTGCTGGTCATGTGAATTGCAGAGTGGTGGGATATGTCTTCACCATGGAACTTGCTCCAGCTCACTTGAGCCCTGCTTCCTTCAGCAGAAGTGACCTGTTGGGATCAGCCAGGGAGGATGCATGATTCATGACACCTCATGCATGCATTAAAGCTATATGCCCTAGGCACTTCCACTGTGCTTCCACTGAGAGCAGAGTGGGGAGAGAGAATCATAGAATATCCTGAGTTGGAAGGGGCCTACAAGGACCATCGAATCCACACAGGACCACCCAAAAATCAGACCATTTGTCTGAGAGTGTTGTCCAAATGCTTATTGAACTCTGATGGTCTATGTGCTGTGACCACTGCCCTGGGGAGCCCGTCCCAGTGCCCGACCACCCTCTGGGTATAGAACCTTTCCCTAACTCCCAGCCTGACCCTCCCCTGTCCCAGCTCCATGCTGTTCCCTCGGGTCCTGTCGCTGTCCCCAGAGAGCAGAGCTCAGCGCCTCCCCCTCCACTCCCCTCGTGAGGGAGCTGCAGGCTGCCATGAGGCCTCCCTTCAGCCTGCTCTGCTCTGGGCTGACCAAACCAAGGGACCTCAGCCACTCCCCCATCTTGCCTTCTAGACCCTTTACCATCTTTGTGGTCCTCTTTTGCATACTCTCTAATAGTTTTATGTCCTGTGGCACCCAGAACTGCACATAGTGCTCGAGGTGAGGCCACACCAGAGCAGAGTAGAGCGGGACAATCCCTTCCAACAAGTACAGCAATGCTGTACTTGATGTACCCCAGGGTACTCTTGTCCCTTTGGGCTGCAAGGGTATGCTGGTCACTGGACACTTCAACTTGCTGTTGACCAAAACCTTGCTGACAACACACCTGCTGAGACTGATCTAGCCCTGCATCCCATTAGTAACTCAGTGAACTTCACTGGAATGGGATCTGTGGAAAATAGCACAATAAGTACATGGTTTTAACCTCTGGCCTTCAGAACTGTGTTTGCTTTATGATGCTTATATATATTCTTCTTCCATCTATGTTTTCCTTTTTTTTTTTTGTTTTTTAAACTTAGTTAAGGGTAAAATTACTTACCCATTTTAAACCATTGAAAAAGAATACTATCATTTTAATACTTCCCTGCACAAATGTGTGGAAAGCAGAAGGTGAGAGCAGAAAGAAGAAACAAGCAGCAAACAGCGCAGGGGTATAGGTGAATCTGAAGCTGCTCTCATAAAAGAACTATTGTGTGCCTGCCAAAGCACCTTGCTGTCTCATAGATTTGAGGCTAAGAAAGGCCTTACAATTAAAGTGTCAGTTCTGGAATGAGGATCAAATTTAAATTCAAAGTACTTGGGACACTCCTGGACGTATTTTACCTTCCTGAATCTGGGGAAGTCAGATGACTAAGGCTTGAAACTTCATTGCTCAGTACTAAGGCCTGAGCCTTAAAGTCTGTGTTCCTCCCTAGTTTCCACTTGCAGTTAAAACTCTCTGCTGTGTTTGGTGGAAAAAAATGCGAGGACTGAAATTTTAAGGGCAGAAGGGACTTTCAGTGATTTTCTGTACCAGTGTGTTCGTATTAATTGGGAAATTTCAAACACTAATTTCTACATTGGAGTCCATATATCTGGTTAAGCTAGAGTGTAGCTGGAAAACCTAAAAATTATTGACTTAAAGGCTTGCTGGCCAAGTGCACTCAATGTCAATACCAGAGAACTGTATATTATGTTATGCAAATTATGCAAGTGACTAATTATTCCGTCTTTCAAAGATAAATTATATGGTTTGAAGCTAAATGAAGCTAAATTCATCTAACTTCATTTTCTATGTAATAGTTCTTGTCTTTGCTAAATCTAGCCCAGAGCTATCCAATATCTGTCCCTTATATGTATTTACAGTTTATGCTTAAGTAATTTTTTTTTTCTTTTTGTAGAACTGATAGTGTCTCTGTGTAAAGTTGTTCTCTAACCAGCTGTTCATCCATTTGGCTTTTTTATCTGCCTTTCAGATTATCAGCATCCTTTATATATCAAACTTAATTGAACATCATATTGAATAAGATTTTCATTAAGGTTGTTACTCCACTTTTCGTTTGACATTCTGTATATCTGAAAATACATTTTGACTTTTAAATATTGTCCTTTTAACTCTGTTCAGATGATTATTCTCAGCAAACTTAAGTCCTTCACTGAATCAATGCTTTGCTTGTCCTATAATGACCTACATTCCTGATTTCAATAGTACTTTACATTCCATTATATGAAATGAGCTAGAGGTCCTACATAATTTCATTCTAACTGCCCTTGTTGCAGCTTTACACTGTGCCCTTTATTTTCAGCAGGTTCTACAGAATTTATCAGTTTTGTCTCGTATTTAGCTCCAGATCAATTGCAGGGAACTAAATTGCTTTTTCAGAGTCAACATTTTGCAACCAGTCAGACAAACAGTGCTCCAAGTCTCCATGTTATACTTGACTACAGCTGCAATATCTGGTCCTGCTTTATGTTAGATAAAATAGACATTAAGAATTGAGAAATGGTAGATACAATATTGATAAATGTCATTGTTATTGTGAAGAGCCTAATGCTTTTTGATGTTGTTTTTTAGCTTCAGTGTCTGGATTTTGTAGCTGTGCTGGTGGTTGAAGATTTAGATCAGACTTTATTATGTAAGATGGAAACTGCAGGAATCCACCTAGTTCAGCCCAAACTTCTTTGATGTTTACCTCCACTAATAAAAATTTAGGATTCTAGCCAAGGCTAGAAGGTTGTTGAGAGATCCCAGTTTGAAACTTTCAGAGTGTTGCAGTTTGAAAGTAGCTGAGAGATAAGCCTCTGGGAACTAAGGAAAGCGTGTCCTGGGGGCAAACACCAAAAGGCAGCAGTTGCAGAAGGCGATAACTGTTTGGTCCCCATGCTGTTGGCTGTCTGAGAAAAATAGGACTTACCTAAAGTGCAAAGCAAAGCTGAATTTTAGGCAGGATAATGTTTGCATATGCCTTTTGTTTTTTTTCTCTCTTATCCTCTCTGTTTGTTATGTTCCTATGGATAAATAAATAAAGTTCTGTGTTGAGCAAGCTGTTCTCTGTCACTACCTTTTCATACTGGTCGTAACTCCCAGAGGGAAGTCTACGGAGGGGCCATTAAACAGCTGGACCTGCTGAGGACACCTGTAACCTGGTGACCCAGTCAAAGTGTGGGGGTGATTCACTGAATTTCTTCTGAGAGAAGTACAGTCTTCAGCCCTTCTTAGCAAGTGTAGGAGACTTGCTTGGAAGGGGTACCCACAGAGAGACTATAAAGCAGGTCACAGGTTCTTCAGTACTCATGTTTGAAGCATGTATTCAGATGATTATTAACCATGCCTTATTAATGGCTAATTTGTACAAGTTATTTTGTTATCTGTCATTAGTTTATAAAATAATGTGTACATGCTACTTTAATGTGAAGCATAATTGCATCATATATATGTATATATTCACAGGTCAGCAGGTGGCTGGTAGTGGGGTGCTGAGATGGGTATATGAACACTGATTTGCAGTGTGACCGGAGAACTCAGAAGTGTCTGAGAAGTGGGGAAAAGAGCATGTTATATTACTTTTTATCTTCTAAAAAATTTATTATGATCACATGTTCTTCATTTTCAGAATGGAGAAGCAGGAAAAGAAACAGAAGAAGATAAAGATGCAAACAAGTCTGAGATAAGTGTAGTGTTTGAAATTGCTTTGAAGCGCAATATACCCGTCAGTTTTGAGGTATGTGTTCTATATGTATGTTTGCTTAGAAGGTATTAAAAAAACACTAACATTTAACACAGTTGAAAAGTTAGTTCTTTATGAATATAACAGTTAAAATCATGTAAGTTATAAATAGATAATTTTGGTAATGTATCAAACTCATAGAATCATAGAATGGTTTGGGTTGGAAGGGGCCTTTAAGATCATCTAATTCCAACCCTCTGCCATGGGCAGGGACACCTCCCAACAGACCAGGTTGCTCAAAGCCCCATCCAGCCTGGCCTTGAACACCTCCAGGGATGGGGCATCCACAGCTTCTCTGGGCAACCTGTGCCAGTGCCTACCACATAGTACAGAATTTCTTCTGAATATCTAATCTAAATGTACCTTTTTTGGTTTAAAAGCATTATTCCTTGTCCTATCACTACACTTGCTAACAAAGAGTCCCTCCACAGCTTTCACATAGGCCCCCTTTAAATATTGGAAGGTCACTCACTATAAGGCCTCCCTGGTGCTTTCTATTCACCAGGCTGAACAACCCCAACTCCCTCAGCCTGTCTTCACAGGAGAGGTGCTCCAGCCCTCTGATCATCTTTGTGACTGTCCTCTGGACTTGTTCTAATAGGTCCATGTCCTTCTTGTGCTGAGGACCCCAGAAGTGAATGCAGGGCTCCAGGTGGAGTCTCACGAGAACAAAGTAGAGGGGAAGAATCACCTCCCTCAGCCTTTGGCAATGCTTCTTTTAATGAAGCCCAGGATATGGTTGGCTTTCTGGGCTGCAAGCTCACACTGCTGTCTCATGTTGAGCTTCTCATCCATCAAAACCCTCAGGTCCTTCTCATCAGGGCTGCTCCTAATCTATTCTCTCACCCTGTATTTGTGCTTGGGATTCCACTGGCCCAGATGCAGGACCTTGCACTTGGCCTTGTTGAACCTCATGAGGTTTGCACAGGCCCAACTCTCAAGCCTGTCCGGGTCCCTCTGGATGGCATCCCTTCCCTCCAGTGTGTCCGTCGACTGCACCACACAGCTTGGTGTCATTGGAAAACTTGCTGGTGGTACCAATGCTGCCCCTGAGGAACACTGCTACTGATCTCCACTTGGACATTGAGCTGCAACAACTTGAGCGTGACCATCCAGCCACTTAGCCACTGAGTGGTCCATCCATCAAATCTGTGTCTCTCCAATTTAGAGACAAGGATATTGTGTGAGACAGTATCAAATGCTTTGCACAAGTCCAGGTAGTTAATGTCAAAATCTAAGACGCTGACTTTTTATTATTAAATTAGATGCTCTTTCAAAAGAATTATAACCCTAATATTTGTTTGGAAACCAGTGGATGGTAGAAAGACAGTTCAAGTATCTGTTTTATAATGCTAAACATTCGAATTAGTGGCCACGCTCAATCTGACTTGAAATAATCTTCAAAATAGAGTCAGACAATCTTTGTGTAAGCATTCATACAGTACAAAAGTTCCCATTAAGATACTTTGCATGTGATGCTCTGTTTTCAGAAAATCAAGACTATCTTTTTATCTTCTACACTGTTTGATTCCTTATCTGTCTCTACTTAAGCCTTTATCTATGAATCTGCCTCTGACACCTTTGTTTACCTTAAGTAACAAAGAATATTTGGAATAGCTCCAATGCAATCAATGAACTGGCTGGGAGAGTGAGTGATCGCAACAGCAGAATTTTTCCGATGAGAAAGTTCTTACACAAACTAGTTGTAAAAATCTGATGTTATTGTGTTAGGAACCACCAGACTTCCAATCTATTTTTATTTATTTATTTAAATAATGCAGAAAAAGCTGATGTAAGTGGTATGTAAAAATTGTTGGCTTTTACTTTTCTGCATATTGTTGTGCATGTATACTGAGTAACTATGAAAAGGACATGGGTAGTGCCTATACTGGTGATGGTTATTTTCTCCAGTCATTTTTCCGTTTGAGGTATATGCACATATTTGCATACCAAAAAATAAATAATGGTGTGGCATCTCGTACAGTGTGCTTTATACAATTTACTGCTGTTTTTGGCCCATATCCATGGGTTGGCCAATGTCAGATGAGCTATTTGGACCTTCTGAGAAATCTGTCAGAAGGGAGGTAAGTGAGCCAAAGATACTGACTGTTGATTTTGACCAAGGAATTCCTTGGTTTAACAAATGGATTTGTGCTTTATATATATGGTCTATAATTGCAATAAATACCGTATGAACTAACTAGAATATTAAGAAAGTAAAATCTAGAAGGGTAAAACTGAGGTGTCTGGGGTGTTGGTGTATCAATTTGCAGCTATGTGGAAAGAATGCAATTCCTGTGTAAGATCAGACAAAATGGAAATCCATGCCTGTGTTTCAAAAAGGAAGGTTGTAATTAATGTTTCAGTTTTCACATAAGTCATTTTCTACCTTAAGTATTTAAAAGTATTTGGAATAGTTCCATACAAGTCAGTATACTAAAATACAGTGAGGTGAATGGTCATGGATCAAAGAATAGCTTGGATGTTGGAATGGAAAGCGGGGTAGTGCTTTGAATATGCTCTTAACTTCATTCCTATGATTTAGCTTGTTTAAGGGAGAGCATTTAGTAAGGAGAGACTGAAGGCAGAGATGCTCAGTACGGGAAAAGTCTAATGTGTCCCTTGCCAAAGAATGTTAACAACGTTGAAAAAGATGTTTTCTTGCTCTCCTGACAAGTTTTGTGTTATTTCCTGCCTTTAAATCTAAGTGTAGGTGACATTTTAAAATAGAGTTTTGATTTAACTTGGTACTGGCTTATATTTCAATAAATCTGCTAAGCAATTATGGGTAATCCCCAGGATCTGATGTTTCTAATAGGATTTTATTTACAAATGGTTTTGTGTTATTCCAGGCAGGCATCAAAGCTTTCTCTAGCATTTTTTGTGTGCGATAGCTATAAAATGATCTGCCTTTTCTTCATGAAGCTTTAGCAAATGTTCCAACAGTGCTGTGTTATGCAACTAAGTAATGGTCATAAAGATATGTAAAGTTCTATGTAAACACATTCTCAGAATTGCATAAGGGGTGCAAAATAAGGAGAGCATGCAGAACCCAGTGGTTTTCTTTTTTTTCAGTGTGAATATGAATGTTGAACCAGTGCATGGTTTCATTTCAGCTGTTCTGCCACAGGGAGTTATGCACTCATTCTGTTCATCCTGTTTTGTATAATATGGATAGTTTTAATTGTCTTGGAGCTTTAGGAAGAATTTTAAGGAATTTCTATCAATTCGGTAACTAAAATAAAAGTTCTGAAAAACAACAAGCTTTATGCCATACCGACCATAGGTGTATCCTTACTTAACCTTTATTTTTCAACTTACCATTCAAAATACAGCTTTCAAAGCATATGTGGGACTCTTGATGAACAATTTTTGAGAGGGATACAAAACTGTTTTCTGTAGGAATTGTTATAATAGCTCTGAGATACTCATTCTTATTATTTCCTCCTTGGAAACAGGCTGAATTCTTGCCTCTTTGGTTCTCTTGCAACATAAATGTTTTTTTCTTTCCAAACTTGCCAGTAATGAGTTAGGTGAGTCTAGAAGACATAACTGAGGTCAACAGCTTAAGGTGTTAGAACAGCTATGTGGAAATGATACAGTACTCACATCAGGCATTAGATGCCTTGGGATGTTTTGGGTTGCTGTTTTATTTTCAGCATTTTTCTTTGGATTGGAGTGCTCTTTCTTTAGAATAGCAAATAAACTTTTTTCATTCTCAGTTTCGTTCTTGGTATCAGGAGCCGAGGGGGTGCAGTGGCTGAACAGACAAATTTTATGCCCTATCATCCCCTTCCAATGCTCTGCTGGGAAAAAGAGGGGAAGTTTGTTGTGTGCCAGTCTGATCACAGTGAGGCAGAGGCTTATTATTTTGAGCCAGGAATGGAGCAAACTGCTGACTCTGAAAGGCTGAGCCAGTTCTCAGCATTTTGCACCCATCTGGCATCTGGCCTCCTGGGCATGAAGGCTTTCAGACTGGATGATGGACATACTGAGTAGCTCTCCTTCTCCTGTTTTAGTAAACCATCCAGGCTTTTTTAGTTTAAACTGGGAAAATCTGGCATGTCAGCCCACACAAGCACATGGAGATACACTGATATTTTCTAAATAACCATGGATGTAGGTGACATGTTTTTGTTGACCCATTCTTTGTCTTTTCTGTTATTTTTTTAATGTCTGTTTAATCTTGTCACTGTCTTTTGAATTTTCTACCTGTAGCCTCATTAATAATTGAAGCAGCATTGCTCTTTCATTGAAATCATACTGCTGTTTTTCATTTGTCAGCATGATTCATTAAATTGAGCCAAATTCACTCTTGATGTAACTTGACCTTAGATGTGTTTTGGCCCCATGTGTTTTCTCTTGCTAGAGTTATTCTTTAAATCAGTGGAACAGAAAAGAAAAGTGTATTGAACTGTCACCCTTAATCAAATTCTCAACTTTAAATTAGCCATGATTTGATCCATAGGTCATATCTTTCAACTGAGGAAATGGTTTAATGTACTAATGCATATAGTGTTCTTGGATAGCAAAGGCTGAATTTCTTTTAAGTGTTTTGTGTGCCAAGGCTTATAGAACAACTGTTTGAAATCATATGGAATAAAAAGATCTAAAATCTGGGCTTAACCAAAAATGTTGTTAGGTAAATATTTTTTTTGCTAAATTACCAATTTTGGATGTTTAGCTGGATCCAGATCCTATCCAAATCCTATGGGGTTCATTCCATTGACAATACAGACTTTTTTTTTCTTGTACTCACTAACAAAGAAACAGTTTTGAATGTTTTCCAGGCTATTATTTACCTTGTGTCACATACCTAAAAGTTTAAAAGATGAAAATCACGCCGACATACATTAGTTTTATATTAAGAAATATATTTTCATATATATGTTTTAATGTATATGAAAATACAGTAAGGTTTTGTATTAAAATTCTTTTTCATATATATATTTGCATGCATTTATATATATGAGAAAACTTATATAAAAGTAATATTTAAGGAACCCAGCAATTATGTTTCTTAAGCAAGTTATTTTGTCCTTTTTCATCTGGTCAGTATACGCATTGTTGTATATTTTATTAATGCACTGTATTGCATATAAGTAGAAACACCTATATACTGGTATTAGTAAGACCACAAAAAGATTAAGGACCCTAGTGATGTTAATTCAACCCTGCTTTTTTACAGCCAACGTGTTGTAATACTTGGGTAGCCCTGTGCACTAACTGATTAAGGTTACACCTTTAGGACAAAGAGGGAAGCAGCGTGCTGAAGGCATTTAGCACAGGTACAAAGCCCTCGTGTGCCTGCAGGTGGGAGATCCTGGCACTGGGCTCATCACAGCTCTGGTGCAGGCTGTGCGGCATCCCCTGGCTGAAGCTGCCACAAAAGCACAACCGCCTTCTCGTGTGGTGAAATGCTAGTGGGCAACTTTCAAGTGAGGTAATCTTGAAAACACTTCTGAAATGATTACCTTGAATCTTAGAGTGGGAACACTCCCAGACTGCAACGTAAAAATCCCATGCTGGCACAGATGCCGTCTTGTTCTGGGAAAATGCGGACAAAGTTGTCTGTTAATTTTCATTTTGTGTCTTTTTATTGATATATGCTCTGATAATTGTATTTGCTGGGTGAAATTGCCACAAAAGAGAGCTTAAAAAAGAAATACAAGCCTAAAGAGACCTCATTACAGTGTAACAGCAAAACTAAATAATGCAAGGGACGTGACCTTGATAAAAAGAACTTTAATACAAAACATGTTGTAATAATATTAAGGTTGAAGGTTTCAACCCATTAAAAAAACAGTTATTGCACCAAGAAGGCCCTAGCACCTTTACCTCCATTTCCTTCTGCTCAAGAATTACACTTTTTCAATGAATGATTTGATGTTGCTGCACCTCCTGAAAAAATATGCATTTGTATTGATTTTGAAGACAACGAAACGAGGTGCCTGTCAGATGCTCTAATCTCTCCTTATAAACATTACATGCAACAAAGATTAAATTAGGTAGCTGTTTCCGCCCATCAAACAAAATAGCTGAACCTTTTCCCAGATGAGGTCTCTAATTCCTGATAGACATTATCCAGACCAATAAATGTTGCATACATGAATAGATGGTTATCTTAGCACGTGCAGTACTGTGATTTGTTGGGTGACTACATTCTAAAAGTATAACCGCCTCAAAGGAGACCTGCATGTGTGCAAAAGTGAAAACAGAAAAAATGTAGTGGAGGGTGCACCATTCAGAACATCTCCGTTTTATTTTTTTCATATTATTGCAACTTTTAGTAGAGGATGAGTACTTCAAATGGGTTTTCTCACTGTCTTTCATACTTGTTATGTTTAGAAAGGGATGAATGAATTAAAAATTTCAAAACTGATTGTTTTTTGTGTGAGTTGTGGTGGTTCTCTTGATTTTTCTTTCCTGTACTGTTGGGAGGGACAGCTGAGAGTTGTGGAGACGATGCTACGGCAGCCTTGCAAATGTGCATGGTATCTGTCTGAGCTATGTGGCAAGGTAAGAGTTGAGAGCAGGCAATGCTGTTTGCAGCTGGGACATAAAATATCCTAATAAAAAATACAGGTCTGTAAGATGGAAGTTTGGGACCATGCATGAACAACCTAGATTTCAATGATAACAGAAAAAATAATGAACAGGTTAAAGTGATACCGTATAAACATAGTTTTGAATATTTTGTATGGATAGGTTGTATGGACTATAGCAAAGCCTAGTGGACCTTCATGAATTAAAATTCTTCACTATGTGAAGCACCTTGCAAGGAGAAAACAGTAGCCTTGGTTTAAATATCTGTTATTGCCATGTACTGTGTTACTGATGTATAAAACATTTTGAAAATGTAGGTCTACTGTATTTTCTGTGAAGCACTGAATATGATGGTTAAATTTGCGTTATCTAATCAGTGTTAATTTTCTATCCTCAAACCTGGTACTGCAATTAACACTTGTCCAGATTTTATGAAAACCTATCTAGTTGCCTTCAGTTACCAGAAAGAATGCACTGGTAGTAAGTACATTGCAGAGATATAAACATTGTTATGTTCTTATAGTGTGATTTGTCTCCATTTATTTTTGTTTAAAAGGTGATTAAAGAAAGTGGACCTCCTCACATGAAGAGCTTTGTTACACGAGTTACAGTAGGTGAATTCACTGCAGAAGGAGAAGGGAACAGTAAGAAACTCTCCAAGAAACGTGCTGCAATGTCTGTCCTACAAGAACTAAAGAAGCTTCCTCCTCTTCCTGTTATTGAAAAGCCAAAACTTTACTTTAAAAAACGTCCAAAAACAATATTAAAGGTATGTGTCTGCCCCTGTCAGAGCTAAGAATATTTGCTTAGAAAGTAGCAGTTACTCAGATTTAAAGCCAGTAAAGACTTACTTGCTATTTTCTGTCAATATAGTTACTTGCTTGTGCTAATACACCTGTATTTTTTAAAAAATTCTTACAGCGCTGTGAAATTATCTGACATAATGGCTTGTAAGGTGCTGTCCCTTAAGAACCCAGCTCACATCACTGACGTCAGCAGAAGTTTGTTCAAGTGTAGTAGAGGATAGAACCCTCCGAGCAGCTCTGTACAGTCGTGTAGATTTTAAGCATCATCTTCTTTGAGAGGCCTTATTGGAATATCCCTTATATCTCCCTTCTCTTTCTCCCCTCCTCAGTTTGAAGAATATGAAATAGTAGTTATCTGGGAAAATGTTGCACGGTCCAGCTTCCTCGTCTCATGGAGCTGGATTTGGGAGTTTTCTGAGCTCAGCTTCAATCAGTTGTAGTTCTTGAAACATTTAGAAAAAAAACCCAAACACAAGAGTTTGTTCACATCTCAGCCTTGTGTGTCACTTGTCAAGCTCTGAAGGAAAATAATTTCTTTGTTTCATGTGGCTGTATTAAGGTTAGCATTTGTTCTTCAGCTCAAAAAAAAAAATTGCAGACCAGCCCACAGAGGACTTGTGGACCTTGAAACATCTCTCCATTAAAATGTATGCTGTCTCAGAGGATGTTAATATGCCTCTTGCTGCACTGATGAGGCTTTGTTCAGAGGCTTTGAATTCTTCTGAGCTCAAGTTTCTTAAATGATGCTTTTACTCTTGGTGGCAGTAGATTTATTACCACTTCTAGAATTCAGTCAATCTGCAGTGACTAGCCCTGGTTTGTGTATTCATCCTGAATTCATATAGAAACAAAGAACCATCTGAGCTAATTAATCTTTCACTTGACCTGACAAAAGCAGCCACATAGTGTCCATACATTTATGAAGCATCACTGCCTAGTCTCAGCATTGTACAGCTAATCAGATTAACTTGTCATCTCCTCAGTCCAGAAGAAGATGCTTTTGCAAATGGTCAAAATCTTCTCCATTGCATTTTATTTTAGGAAGTGTTATTCTGTGAGGCAGCAATTAAACTTTTTGTACGTGGCTTTCTATTGTCTGGCATGTTGGATAGTCATTTACAGCTATACAAAATAATATCATGTAATGTATACCTAACCATTCAAACTCATGACAGATTGGTGTAGATGTTGGTGGAGAGTTGGTCACTTTTTGTCTAGTGTTACACAATTACTTTTGCTTCATAATATGCAACCTCAAGACTAGAACTGCAGGAAATAACAAACCCTGTTCCTTGGAATATAGCTGTAGGACCTAAATTTCATCTCTTTTCCTGAGAGGAAAAAAAGCTTTTTAATTTTTCTGAATTAGAAAACAATGGGAATGATGCACAGGTTTTGATGAAATGCACAGCTATGTCCACAGCTTGTGTGCTAGGCAGCATTGCACCAATATAGTGTGAGTATCAAATATGGCTTGAACTCAGTCCTCATTGAATATTGCATAGATGGATTGTGAAAATAAATAAATATAAGAAATGGGTGACTGCTAGGAATCTGTATACTGAGTATGCTGAGTGCAGGAACAGCCATCTAGAGTAAGCAAATATTTTGGAGATTGTAAAACTGGACTTGGAAAGTGTACAAAGTACTCCATCATCTTTCACTTTTCATTTGCCTTCAAAACAGAACAAATGATTTCTCATGAAAATCTAGGGTAATTAGATACCCAGATCCTACTGATATTCAGAGGATATCATTCTCAAAAAACTTCTAGGAAAAATTCATCATAAAATGTTACTTCATGCAAAACAATCAACATCATTTCAGCTTTAAGGATCTGAAAGCTGCAAGATCTGAAAAGAGTGATTTTCTCTGCCTGTCTCATTTTAAATGAGAGATGCTAAGGGTGTAATAATGTAAAAACTTCTTAGTTTACTATAAACCATTTACCATTACAGTCTTAAACTGAATTATCCAAAGTTGGTCGTCTTATAAACAGACATTAATAGTCAAAATAACCCAAATACGTAGGAAGTTTTTATTTTTTGAATATCCGGACTCCTGAAATGCTTTTGTGTCTGTTTCTTTTAATTTAACCTGTACGTGCTTTGAGCATCAAAAAAAAGTGACAATAACTTCTTTTTACTTCTATATATATATATTTATGAGGCTATATCTTATGGCCTACACTTTATTTAGCCTGCTCTCCCTTTGTCTCCACCTGGCTCCTTGCCCACACAGCTGCCCTTGTGCATGACATTGTCTTCATTCTTTCACCTACATCTTCTCTAATGACTTCAGCAGTTACACTAGGAAGGATTTGCTGCACAGCTTTCTTAATATAATATCCCTCTCCGGTCTTTGCCTTCAATTGCTGATCATCTCTTTAGGTTCTTGACCACTTGTTTGCTATTATTTGAGAACCTCAAATACGCATTAATTTACATCTTCTCTTATACTGCAAATACCTTCAGAAAGAGGAAATATTGCAATAACATAAAGACAATTTTGCATTCAAATGCCATTTATATTTGTAAGTACTTCTCTTGTGTTGTGGCATATAAATCTATTAAATATAACCACAGATAAATGTGTCTGAATCTTAATTTCTTCTCTTTTCCTTCTACCAACAATATTTTCATAGCTGTTTGTTTTGACAGAGCATTAAGAATAATAACGTACTGAAAGGATTTTAAAACTAATACAAACAGTTTGCAAGGACTGTAGTTTTTCACCTGTCTTTGTAATCTTGGACAGACCAGTTTCTCCGATCTTTTGTTCTTCACCATCAGATCAGTTCTCCCATTAGCAATGCATTTTGATACGTTACTTTGAGGTTTATTGTCTGTAATACTTTGTGGGTGGCTCACAGTGTGCAACATTTCTAGTCATTGGAGATATTCCTCTCTTTCTCTTCTCTATCTTCACTGCCTAAAAGCATTTGAGGCTGAATTCCTATAGCTGCATGCAGAGTAAGCTTTCTTCACCTTTAGTTGCATTGTAGGATGGAAGATAGGACTGCAGAGATGGAAGGCTGAGAGAAATGCAGCTTGTTATATGGCAAATCTTTTTTGTCCCCATATAAATCCATCTCTTAATATTACTGCATGTTTCAGTATTGTGGCAACCTATTTTTAAGGGCCAGAGGGATGAGTCATAGAAATAGGACAATGAAATATAATTGATGAATCTGATAATTTTTATCCATTTCTGTAGTAAATAGATAGATGAAGGCATCAGTAGTTTACCAATGACAGCTATGCCCACTACCTGCAGCAGTGGCACGCAGTAGGTGCGTATTATATGCCACGGTTTTGAGATTGAGGAATTCTCCTGTCTGTCTCATGATCAAAAGATGGTACAAAATATATTGTTTTTTTCTCTATTTCTATTAAAGAAAATTATTATTTTCTCTATTATTATATTCTATTATTATTTCTCTATTTTCTATTAGAGAAGAGGTAGCACAACAGTTGTACTGATCTACAATACTAATGCACAATGAAATTATGGTTCTTTCTCTTAAACCTGTTTTAGACTGGACCAGAATATGGTCAAGGAATGAATCCCATTAGTCGTCTGGCTCAGATCCAACAGGCCAAAAAGGAGAAGGAGCCAGAATATGTTCTTCTTTCAGAGAGAGGAATGCCTCGCCGTCGAGAGTTTGTTATGCAGGTATCATCTGCTGTTGTGTTACAGATAGAGCCTTTGCTATGTCATGTTCAAACACAAGAAAAATGGTGGCATAATATAAAGCTTATCCCTCCGTGTTTATCTCTTTGATTTATGGTTATTTATACAACAGAAGTGTGAAATCCAGTAGCAGTTTAAACTGCCTTCTTTCTTTTGGTGAAACGAATAGCAATTAGGTAATTTGCCCTCTAGAAGTTTTCCTTGCAGTGGTTTTACATTTTTATGCTATTATTTGTATTTCACCTAATTGTTTCTGATTTTATCCCTAATGTTACACTTCATAAATGATTTATTTACTTTCACTTGTCTTTTAGAAAATTTTGCAGTTGTTGAATGGAGTATTGCACTACAAACAAATATTATGAAATATGGAGAATATGCTACAAGTCACCAAACATTTTGGGTTTAAAAAGTAGCACTGTAAATCTTCTAAGAACTCCTTTCAGATTTTCATCTGTTTGTTGCTTTTGTTCCTATTTCAAATGCAACAAAAACAGCCTTCCATCACACATTTTAGCCTCTTCAGTTAAAGAATTTGTACGTAATACACAAACCGTAGATCACTAATGCACTAATGTTTCTTTTTTTTTTTTTTTAATTAAAAACATTTGCAAAGATTTGATGTAGCCATGATATATTGTGTTAGATAGCACAACAGCAGGTTAAGAAAAATAAGGAACAGGAAAGGATTATTTTTTCTTATGTTTTCACTGAGGTAATTTTGTGCCAGGGCAATCCAGAACAGCAAACCTGAGCATGTTTTGACTTGTTGACCACAAACAACACCAAAATTTAAGTTCTGATCACAATCAGAACATGATGTTCAAGCACCTTCTTCTCCAGAAATCAAAAAAAACCAAAAAACTTAAGTCTTTAAATCCTTCCTTCATTTCTATCTAGACAGGCTAGCAATCTTCATTTCCTTGGATCCCAGTGGTCTTTCTTGACAATTTATTTTCTCTTCGAAAAAATAAATTAAAAATAAAAAAAAATATATATATATATAATATATAATATATATAATATATTATATATATAATATATATATAATTGTGTTCCTTTTGTTCAGGTTCAGATTTATGAATATAACTTGGATTTCCATGTTTTTGTGCTATCTGAAATTATTTGAAAAAGAGTGATCTTGTCGCAGACCATCCCTTTTCACATGCTTGGACCCTCCAGTTAGAGATCTGTATCTGATCTGTGTGCATTGGAAAGATGGGCTGAGAATTTGGCTTTCCACTCATGGATTCTCAGTAGTGGTAAAATACTTGGTTTGAATCAAAATGGAATCTTAAAAGCTGTGAATACACAGAGGATTCCCCAATCTGAGAAGGCTTGTGAAAGAAAAAATCAAAGAAATTCCATAGATCAGTTGCTTTTCACTGTAGCCCAATTTCTACCCTTTTCTAATATTTTCACACAAAGATCATCCCTCTCTTTCTCCTGCCTTCAGGAAGTCTCAGTGGATTCATTATGACATGCAAAAAACCTTATCAGAATAAAAAGCCTTTGTATAAACTACTTAAACAATGTTTTCATTTAATTTAATTGAATGTGGAAGTAAAATATCCAGAGATAATATGTTCATTTTTATCTGTCACACAAAGAGCAAGTTTAGATGTGATGAAATGGATCCAATTACTTGTCCTGACCACTAGATAAACAGAAGAAAACCTCTGATGACATTAGTTGGTGTTCTGTTCCCAAAGTTAATTTCAGAAAGCTCTTTCTCTTTGTAGTCAGACCTTTAATCCTTGATAGAGGTTATAATAATAGCTAAACCAGTTTTACAGGTCTGAGAAATAGCAGCACATTGATTTATTGTGAGCTATGTTATAAATTATCATTTTGTCTTGTCCCATTAAAGTCCCTCAATTTTATTGCATATAAACTTGTAGCAGAGTGGCTATTTTCTAATTGTGATTGTAAAACTGCATAGAAGTTAAGGGGTTTATTTCAAGGTTATTAATATTTCTGTTTTATGTAGTTGAATCTTTTTGTTTAATTATATATGTATGCCAAAGGGATATTCATAATCATTATTATTTATTTACAACCCCTTCTTTCTATTTTGAGTTAATAGGTATTTGAATAAAGAAAAAAATAAAGGTTTCAGGAAAATATATACATGATAATTTAAGGAAAATGATTAATTATTGAATAACATAAACGATTGAATAATATATTATTTATTTAACAATCATGTGCCTGTTTTTCATATTTTTTTAAGCTTTTTCCAGAATGTTTCAGCTCATTGACCTCTAAGGTTTCTTTTATTCAGATTGCCTTGGGTATTTTATTAATTTTATTTTACCTTGGGCTTACTTTGTAACTTGGTTTTGGGATCATAAGCTATTTTTAGAGATAATTTGGCAAATAAAATGGCTTAATGGACAAATTGAAATATAATAATTAAAAGACTATAAATATTGCACAAATGAATAGCAGTGATAGTGCTCATACCTCAAGGACTGCCTCTTTCTGGATATTCGTTGCCTATAATTTGTGTTTATTTTGAAGTTTTAACTTTTTTTTATGTAAAGCATCTTGTTGGAAATCCTTTGGGCAGTACAGCCCAGAGGTCCAATGAGGATTCTTCTTTCCAAAGACCGTTTTGATAAAATCTTGTCAGGTGTAAGGGCAGGAAAAGAAAACAGCTCCCACCCCTGTGTTTCTTGCAGTGCAATGAAGTGGGAGGAACGCGAATATGGTTTTCATCTTTCTATAGAAGCCTCTCTTTTATATTTCCAGGTCATTGTTTGTCTGTCCATTGTTCTCGATACTCTCCTGATGATGCTGGGGAACAAGCAGTCCCTCAAGGAAGAGGAAGTCCAGATCCTGTAGCACATTCCACATTAAGAAAGAGGGGGGAGCAAAATTAGGGGAGAACAAGGTTGACACAGAAACTGGCAGAAAAGAGGGAGTTCTGTATGCACACCACAGATATATAAAAATGTAGGTCTTTGGTATGAGGTTGGGGACTTTCTGAAAAATTTAAGCAGGCTCATCTTTGGGAAGCAGTATTGTAGTCCACTTTTTGCACTATTCTGACTTTTTCCAGATTGCTTCTGCATCAGAAGAGCTGATGGTTGTTGGTAGATCAGCAAAATTATCGCATGGTGATATTAAAGGGTCTTGCATTTATTATGATCATGATCAATATTTTCTTTTTAAGGTAAAAGTAGGCAATGAGATTACTACTGGGACAGGCCCAAACAAGAAAATAGCTAAAAGAAATGCAGCAGAAGCAATGTTGCTACAGCTGGGTTACAAAGCCTCTACCCCTCTTCAAGACCAGACAGAAAAGGTGAGAACCAAATGATTTTATTAATTTTCATATCTGAAATAGTCATAGCTGTTTGTTTTTTCACTGAATATGCAATAAAAACGTTATAGAAAATGCTTTCAGATTTGATGGCTGAGAAAGAAAATGCATGTCAGTGTTTTTCTGGAGAAGGGATTATATTTTAAATTCACGTGTTGCAGGTATATGTTTCTGTATTAGTGATGTGCAGATCAGCCTTCTGGCCCATCTTGACTTTATTGATGTAAGGTTTTGTAAGCAAAATGGGATGTTAAGGCTTTGGTTTTTGTGTCCTGAAAAGATCAGAGCAAGGTATTTGGCTAAGCTGTGGACTCTGGACAGCTTCTGTGATACATACACACAAAGTCACTGCATGTGTATATTTTGATCACAGCTTAAATGTTTGCTGTGGCTGCACCAGCCAACTGTTGACTCAGGTCAACAGAATGTTCTGCTGGGCTTTTATTGGGACCACATGATAAATCTGTATATAGCACTGTTGAGTGGTTAAGGCCTGCTGCTGCTGCTTTGTTTTCTTACATTCATTAACTTATTGCTTAAGAGTGCGTTGCCTTTAAAAACACAACAAAACAAAGCAGGTTTAATTACATACTTGAAGTAGTAAGATAGAAGAAGGTATCTTAGAATTGATAAAGCATCGTGGCCTAATGTTATTCTGAACAAAATAAGCAAATGTGATACTGTACACACAAAAGGTGAACTACTCAAATTTTATGAAATGGGAATGTTCAAGATAATAAAACACACTTTCATAGCTTTGTAGAGCTTAAGAGCATAAATACTTCTAGAACATCTGGAGTAATCTTCTCTATACAACAGAATGAACATGTAAAGCCAATAAACAAGTTAGTTTGTGTAGATTTTAGTTCTCAGACTTAGCAGACAGCTTATCACACAGCAGGAGAGACTGAAGTACCATCTGGATTTGGGGTTTTTATTACCAGATCAGAATGCAATGGATCCATGAAAGAAAACCTTTTTTTTTTTTTTCCAGAATAAATTGGAAATTTTATTGATTAAATTTGGAGTGTCAGGCTTTGTTTCATTTGACAAATATGCAGTTGAATATCTGTACACAGTATGAATGAAATGTATTCTGAGTGATCTGAGGGGTGCCTTAATTCAGCATTGAAAATTGGTAGCATCCTTGCTTCAAGAGTCTGCAGTAGCTGGGACTTGGTTAGGTCAAATGTGCTCAGATAGTCTTCTCAGCTAAAACATGTCTGGTGCTGGAGAAGAAGGAAAATAGCAGTTAAATCTCTACCAATTTGATCATTGTAAAATTCCTTCCATATAAATTGCACCATAAAGTTCTGTCATTAGAAGATTTGCATCCCAAATGGGGCCCAGTGCAGGTTAGGCAGACATATCAAGTTGGTGTCTAAATGGGGAATTGTCACTTACGTTGTTTTTGATATTTAAAAAAAAAACACAGGAAACTTCTCCTTCTAACCCCCTACCCACCGAGTCCTTTCATCCCCTTCCTCCTTCCTTAAAACAAACAAACAAACAAACAAACAAAAACAAAACAAAACAAAACAAAACAAACAAACAAACAAACAAACACAAAGTCAATGTTCTTTCTTCCTCAACCCCTGATGCATAAAATGCTGCAGTATTCATTCTTCCAGTGAAGACCTCAAAGTGTTGCAAGAGTCATGCATGGTGCCCATGGCAGTACAGGTATTCCAGGTAATGTAAAAAAATTAAATAAATAAAGGCTCTGCTCTTTTCTGAGGTAATCCTGTACCTGGAAGAAATCAGTAGTGTATGTGTTGAGCACTGAGGAGAGCAATTTCAAAGTGCCCTGGGAGATTTTTCGCAGCTACCAGAATTTTAGCTCTATGGATGAGAGTGGAGAGTTGTAGTGTTTTCGTTTTTCATATTTTCGCTTTTTAATTTCTCCTTGCCCCCTTTATTCCCTTAGAAGAAATCCAGGGTATATTGCATCTATTTGACACAGCATAACCAAAGATAGTTTACCGATAATTGAATTCTTGTTAAATCCCCCATCATGATGATGCTAATAAACAACAAAAAGAGAGGAATGAGAGGAGAGCTGGAAAAGTTTTTCTCATACTGTAATAGTGCACTTGGCAGATTTTTCAATCATTTCCTTCTGGATTCAACTAAAACCATGCTGTTGTAACAGACAGCTGTAAGTTCAAATATATTTACAGATTTCAGGTTGTATATTCATTTGAAGAACTGTCTTTGTGATGTTTTCCATGGATATACTTATTATGTGGTTCATTAATTTCACATAACTTTCTTTGTTCATATAAAGTTTGTGGAATTGGGTGACCAGTTTGAGAGACAACTCTAAGACCTATCCTCTCTTTTCTATTAGATATCTCCCTTTTTATTGCACATTGCCTATGCTGTAAGCATATTGGTATGTACATGATGAAGAAAAGCAGGGAAACAATCTTTGGAATAGTTGGTTTGCATAGTGTGCTCTTCCCTCCTTTTTCCCCAGGGAAAACATATCATCTAGTAGTCTGCCTTATAACAGAATAGTAATTTATGCATCCTTAACCTCTGAGATGTAACAGAACCATGGACCTGTTTTCAGAGGCAGAAGACATAGAAGGACAAGGACAGGACAGCAACACTGTACTCTGTCCTGGCTGGCAAACCAGATGGGTCCTATCCTAAGGACAGGCTGCTGTCAGATTTCAGACTGCTGGCTCTCTCCTTCACATCTCCTCCACTCAACAATTAACCCCATCAGCCCCCTCGTCCAGAGCAAATGATAACAACTTTTTAATGGTGTATTGGCTGTGTTGCTGCAAGGTTTTCTATTTGTGTGTTAAATCCCAAGGAAATCTGAAAAGGATCGTCTGCATCACATTAATTGAGATGCCTGTCAATAGTTCATAGTTCATGAGAAAAAGTGGACTTGTTTCTCTGCATTTACACATAAATCTAGAACATGGATACCTTACTTACTGTGTAGACTTTAGGAATGGCCTTATTCTGATCTTCCATGTTAATTGGTTCCCTTTTCTGTGTCAGCGTAATACTGAGCATTAAACATAACAAAAAATAACTTCCTCAAAATATCTAGATATTAAAATAATGGATAATTGCAAGAGTCAATTTTGCTTCTACTTCAGTAACGAAATGGATTCCCAGCAAGTAAATATTTTAAAATTACACCCAAAGTACTTTGTAGTGTTTATGCATTCTTTCATAGGCAGATATTAGGATCTTCTTGTTTTAGAATGTAATTTCTCTGTCATCTGTGTATATTTGCAGTTGAGAACTACTTAAAATATTTGATTTTAAGTCTGATTTGGTAACATGCTGTGTCGAGCCTAATCTTTGGGGAAACATTTATATTTTAGTGTTAGGCAATAGTTGTTAATGTTTATTCTTGAAGGGTACATTCCTCAAATAACCTATTTTAGACCAAAATTAATCTTTGCTAACATTAATATGTTAGCAAATATGTGTAAGCAGATGTGGTAATCCCAAGTCACCCTTTTTTAGAGTCTTTCAACCAAATTTGTAATTTTGAATGTTCTGTTTAAGGAGTTGTTTGATGTTTACTTATTTGTCTTTTTCTACCTGTTTCAGCTTGGAGAAAACAAGAGTTGGAACGGCCAGAATGTTGGGTTTCCTGAGCCAACAAGTAACAGTAAGTATCACTTTCTAAATCCTTATTTATTCCTGCTTATTTTGTTTCTGTAGGATTTAGATTATTCAAGGCAAATGAAATGTTTTCTATAAATTTGCAATTAAATTAATTAACTCTTGAGCATCCTCTCTGTGAGTGCAGGAACAAGAAGATTCTTATTTACCCCTCTTTTTATTATTATTTACTGTTTTAACAAAATCAAGATTGGTTTTATTAAATCATCAAATCCTTCAGGTTTAAAGGGATTTTTACAAGTTTTCTAAACTGCAGGGCCAGTACTGAGTTCAGACAAGGTTCCTTGTGTCTTTTTCCTGTTTTCCAGGGATGGAGATTTCATAGCTTCTCTGGGCATCCTGTTCCAGTGCTTAACTATACTCACGCTGATCTTTTTAAAATTTATTTTTATTCTTGTTTTTCACTTTTATCCAGCTGGAACATGTCCTGTTTGTTTGATAATCATCTCCAGTTCTGCTTCTATATAACTCTCTAAAGTGGCTGATAATGCCTTTCTTCAGTCATTGGAGACTTCCCCTAATCTCCTTGACTTTTCAAAGGTGACAGAGTGGTCTCAAAAGAACTTAAGTTGGTTCACTCTACACCCTGAGACACATCCCATCTGGTCTGGTGACCAATTATAGGTTGAAAATTTCTCTAGGAATCATTGACTGTGATCTCCATCCGCTCCTGGTAACTTCTCTTCTCTGAGCTCTTTCTTTAGACCCAGAGGCCTGTGAGGCCTTGTTTGTGAAGAACAACTTCAGTTTCACTGCAGTAGTTAATGAATTGCCTGACCAATCTAGTGGCCTTCTATGATGGAGTGGCTGCATCAGTTGACAAGGGAAGACCAACTATCATCATCTACCCAGACGTCTGTAAGGCCTTTGGCACGGTCCCGTACAACATCCTGATCTCCAGATTGGAGAGAGATTGATTTGAAGTGCGGACTGTTCAGTGGATAAGGAATTGGCTTGAAGGCCACACCCAGAGAGTGGTAGTCAATGGCTCTATGTTCAGGTGAAGGGCAGTGGTGTCCGTCAGGGGTCTGTCTTGGGACCAGTAGTGCTTAATAACTTTATCAATGACATAGACATTGAGTGCACCCTGAGCAAGTTTTTAAATGACAACAAGCTGAGTGGTGCAGTCAATCCAGCAGAAGGAAGAGAAGCCACGAAAGGAGCCTAGAAAAGTAGGTCCATGTGAACCTAATGATGTTCAACAAGTCTAAGTACAAGTGCTGCACCTGGATCGGAGCAATCCCAGACATGTGTACAGACTGGGAGAAGAACTCATTGAAAGCAGCCCTGCAGAGAAGGACTGGGGGGTTCTGGCGGATGAAAAGGTTGACATGAGCCAGCAGTGTCTGCTTGCAGCCTAGAAGGCCAACTTGCCTGGACTGCATCAACAGAGGATTGGCCAACAGGTTGAGGGAGGGGATTTTATCCACTCTGCTCTGCCGTTGTGAGGCACCACCTGGAGTGCTGCATCCAGGTCAGGGGCCCCCAGCATAAGAAAGATGTGGCCACAAAGATGATCGGAGGGCTGGAGCACCTCTCCTATGGAGAAAGTCTGAAAGAGCTGGGGATGTTCAGCCTGAAGAAAAGAAGACTTGTTGGTGGAGACCTCATTGTGGCCTTTCAATACTTAAAGGGGGCTTATAAAAAAATGAAGAGCAACTTTTTGCTTGGGCAGACAGTGACAGGACAAGGGGGAATGGTTTTAAACTAAAAGAGGGAAGGTTTAGATGAGTTGTTAGGAGGAAATTCTTCACTCAGACAGTGGTGAGGCACTGGAACAGGTTGCCCAGAGAAGCTGTGGATGCCCCGTCCCTGGAGGTGTTCAAGACAAGGTTGGACAAGACCCTGGGCAGCCTGATCTAGTGGTTGGCATCCCTGCCCAAGCAGAAGGGTTGAAACTAGATGATCTTTGAGGTCCCCTCCAACCCAAGCTGTTCTATGATTCTATTAGTACAACAAGCCTATGTGATTCTGCTAGATTTTTTCCTGGCTTTGGACTTACTGTAGTGTGGTAGAGATAATATAAATAGCACTTTCTTCACTCTTCCATGAGTCCTATATTCTTCTCTAGAACAGTTTTGAGCTTTGAACTTCTTAAGAGTACAAATTCTTATCTCCCTCAACTATGGATTGTATTATAGATGGACACATGTTAGCTGTCTTTTTTGCCAATTTGCATCCGAATGACTTGGTCCAAAATCGAGTTTTTAAGGGGATTCAGTTGTGTTCCATTATATATGAAGTCTTCTCAGTGGCTGGACTATGGAGGAGTTGGGAAGTAATTTGTGGTTCAACTTACACAAAAGGTTGCCAGTATTTGAAATTATCTTGGATTCAGCATATGCCATTGTGTTTCACTGAAAGGAAGAATTTTTCAGGATCTAAGACTTATTATTAATTGCTTCCTTCCAGACCTATCTTCAGTCCCCATCAGTACTTCTAGATTATTGCTGTTTGCATTGTCAGAATCCCTAAGGACATGGTCTGTGAAACATCTGCAAATGTTAACGTCTTCAAATGTTAACATATTACAGTTTGGGACAGCAGAATAAGATCTCAAGCTTTTCTCTGCTATCCTTCCAGTGTCTTGTAGCAAAGATATGTACTGATGACAGTGTGACCATCTACTGTCCCAAGAAGGAAAAACGATGTCTTTCCCTAGTTTAACCTGGCAAAAATACCTTTGTGGTCACATGTGTAAATCCAAATCCAGGAGAGCAAAAACAAACTCATTCAACAGAAAACTGTATAAATTAATTGTATTTTAAACCTGTGGTAATCAAGGGACTCTTTTTTCACAGATGGACCTGTTCACAGACCTTTTTGCAGCCACCATGTTCCATAGTACAGGAACAAATTTACAGTCTGTTTTGCTTCATGGAAGACATTTCTAGAAGCTCTTGTTTCCATTCTAGTGATATCCAAGTAAATTGGAAATCAAATGATACATAGCTAACATGATAGTAGCCATTGAGCATTTCTGACAGTGCTGTTCAGAGAGCACAATGCTTAATCCCTTGAGTCCTTAATTTTTTTTTCCCAGTCTATCATGAACGATAATCAACTGATTAGTGTATCATTTTTGCTTTCAGAGGGCCTGGGCTATCCTTTTGCAAAATAGGAAATATTTGAACCCTGAATGCTATAAACAGGCATATAATTTTTTTTACTGATTTTTTTTTAAACTCAAGAGCTTTTCTGATTCTAGAGTATTTTCTTTAAAACCTACAGCTTAGCTGTAACAATAGCATTTGAGGAGATTTGAATATGTTATAGTTACATAGAGGACAGACTGATCTTCACTTTATAGTCTCCTCTAGGATTTTTGGAAGACATAGAAATGCATTTTTCTAAGTGTTATTGTGGTATCACCCCTGGCTGAAGAAATTGCTAATAGGCCTTCTTTTTTTAGTTTCTAATAGAAGACACTCTTAATATTTGTAAATTAAAATGGCCTTGATGATAGATTTATGAATCTGCTGCATAAGTTGGCACTCTATTAAAGTATTCTTATACATAGAAAATCACTGTAGTATCTTCTGTACTGTAGATCTTTCAACATACGAGTATCACACCATTCTGAATATACAGCAGCGTACAGGAAGGAAGCACATACTCCTGGGTAGAAAATGCATTGAACACTTTTGTATGTTACTTAGGGAACCAGTAAGTTCAGTTGATAGCTTCCTATTGAATGGCTCTATGAAGAGGCATTTTTTTCAGGACACGACTGAGGACAAAGGATTGCAACATTTGGAGATAGTATTCACTTGACATTTTTCACCTGTTTTCCATAGGCATAGTCAATGTTGGAATTTCCTGCTAGTATTTGGTAGGGAAGCTGTCTTCAAGTATACATTTACATGCGAGCACTTTGCCTACTCTTCTTCTGGTAGAATATTATTTGCTAGTTTCCCACAAAGGAAATGCACTAGAAACCCTGAAGAAGAACTAGAATTAGTGAGAGATTTCCCTGTATACACCCACTGATCTTCCCCTCAGCCTCAGAGTCCAACTTCAGAGCTAGTTGACTAACTAGAACTGAGTAAGTGTGAAGTATGTTCTTTTGCATTTAAGAAGTGATCACCTGCATGCATGACCTCTTCTGTACCTGTGAAGCACGTCTTTTTTTTGAGGCGGCTCCAAAGAAGCTCCCCTGTTTAAGATCAAAAATGTTGCATTCTTTCAAGTATGAATATGCAAATTTATATTTAAGAACAACAATTATTGGTAGGTGTATATACTGTATGTATCTACTCTAGCAGAGTCAGCATTGTTACAGGGCATTTTATGCAAGACAAATGGAACAGCTTCATCAATTCTATTTCCTTGGTTATGAGAGAAATATACATTTTACATTTGTTGTAATGCTAAAACATAGCTTTCAGTGGTGTTGAAAACCTAAGGTAGGCTCTAAGATTGTTATGTCTACCATTTGGCATCTCTTATTCAGATTTCCAGTAATTTTATTCCAGGAAAACTATTGTGTCCTGTTAGGAAAACATATTATTCATTGGTTCCCCTTGGCAGGCAGATACTCTTTCTTTGTGTTCATTCTGCACTATATTTTCATCTGAAACTGTGTGAAATAAAACTGGAATAGTAAAGTGAAGTTTCAGTATGACAGAAACAAAAATTATGTATTTTAGTAATCTGCAGAACAGATTCCATTGTGCTCTTATTACGTAGTTTTTGCTTAGAAATACTCTTCAGTCTGTATCCTCCTACATACTCACTGGAAGCATTTTTAGTATTCCCTGTTAAATGTCCTTGAAAACTAATTTTTCCCATTCCCCTCTGTTATGTGCTTTTGCAGCTACCATTGCAGCAAACCTCACTTCTGTTCCTCCCACTCATTGGCAAAGCTTCTTCTCATTGATTTGCTTCTTTACCTTTCCTCTTTCATAATCTTAAGGATGACTGGAAACAAGAAGCTATTTGTTTCTTGGTTTGGGATATCTTAGACATTTTTCACACGTGGAATAA